CTCACATAGAAGGTCAAGTACAAAAATCTAGATAGTATTGATGAAAATATTAATTCTTTGGCATATGATTTACTAACAAAACCTCACTTAAATGGAGAAGTATTGATGAAAAGATTGATTCTTTGGTATATATTTAAATTGCTACCAATGCTGCATCCTATGTGAATGCGAATGCCAAAATCACATATGAGATACAAAGTTTTTATTACAAAACCATACTTGGATACTGAAGTAATAGATTAGATTGATGATAAGATTGATTCTTTGATATATATTTTAGTCTGATTAGGACTTATAAAAGTGCTGCAACCTAAGTGTACAGACAAACCCAAATGATATACGAACCTTACAATACCAAACTAAAGTAAAAGAATCTAGATAACATTGATGAAAAGATTGATTGTTTGGTATCTGAGTGGTGGGCACACACACCCAGGCGTTTAACCTTGGGAGGCCTTCACTTCTGAGACACTTCTAAGTGCAAGGATAACCTGCGATCAGTCAGTCAAACTCGATTGTGATGTTGATGTTGATGTCGACTCCACTTGACTTTGACATGCGACTCGAACTTCATTAGGCCTGGCTTTGCCCATACGCCTGCCTGGCTACCTACCCACTTGGCGATACTTTACTATCTGGCTGGAGTTATTGGAGCGGCAACTTGAAAGATCACCCCTCACTTATGTTGCATTGAACTTGCCTCTGTCTCTGCACCAACGCACCAAACATCGCAACAAATTACGCCAAAAAAAAATGTGGACAAGAACCAAAAAAGACATGGCAAAGTGCGTTCTAGTGGCAGATACATTTTGTGAGCAAATTAATTTTGATTGCTGGCGATTGCAGTCGAGCGAGAACCGCTGTGTGGGCCAAGTTCTTTAGCCACTGATCGCTGACCATGGGCGGTGGCCACTGCTGATTTTTATTCTTTTATAAATATTCATTGACCAGCCAGAGCCGGAGCCACGGATACAGATACAGATACAGATACAAGTACAGAATCCATAGTTGAGTGGGCTGCTGCTGCTGCTGCTGGCAGAAGGTGGGCTCGGAATATTTTTAACGAGCTGCTTTATGTAAACAAACTGTTAACACGGCAGGTATCTCTCAGTCATACCACTCGCTATCAAAGTATTGGTATCCGTTCTTGTTCCCATTGTCGATTGTCGATTGTCGGTGCCGTACTTTACGACTACATGCACTCGCATTGAACAGCGATCTTAAGAGCCGATTAGATTTAACCTTGACCAAGATGATAACCGAAAACGAAAAGAAAAAAATATGAGAAGAAACAACGCAGGCACACACCTTAACGCATTTCCATTGATGCCGCATCGAAAAGAGCATAATTATTTCTTCAAATCAAGGTTTCTAGAGCGACTGCTTAGCACTTTAAATGTGCGAGATTTTCATATAAATGATACCAATAATTTGCATTTGAATTCGTTTTTCTGGGCGATCACATCCATCGCCCAAGACAGACGACTTCTGTTCCAATCAACATCCATTTTCTGGCCGCTTTGGGCAGTAACACCACCGAGTTCAGCAAACAGCAATAGTCATGACTATAATGATGATCGCTGAACCAACTCCTGCGAATGTTCGTGTCATGAATTTGCACAAATTATGCTAATTTCCCAAAATTACAAACCGCAAAGTGATTTTGTTGTATTGCTTTATTTGCCGCTCCTGTGTTTCGGTGTCTGCCAATTTTTTTGTGGTATTTGCACATTCAAACACTTTGATGCTCTGGGCAGAGCCAAAAAAAAATTAAAAAATAAATAAACACAGAAAAAACAAATACGAAAAGGTGTTAATTTTGATTGTAAGTAAATTTTTGGTTCACTGAACTCTTTGGTGGCGTGTCACATTATGCAACCGCCGTTTGCTGATTATCCGCGATCATTGTGGAGAAATATTTAAAAAATGCTTTATATTTAATTGAATAAAGGAAAGAGCAAACGAAAATATCATCACAAATCAATCAAGCTCATTGTCAGTTGATTGCAATCGCTGGGCGTTTCTGCAGGTGCCAATCAGACATGTCTATCTGTATCTGACAGATACGCGCACTTGTTCATTTGGATGTGTGAAAGGCCGCAAGAAATGTAATCGAAACAAAAAACGTAACTCCAAATCAGCTCTCTGCTCCTACAGATATAACAATCGTGTTGTGGGTGATTACATAAACAAGACAACTCGGACAACTTTATTTTGGGCCAGAGCTAAAAGCTGAAAGCAGATACTCGTGGCCAATGGATATTTGGTGTGTGCGAGCTGCGTGATTTGAAAGCAATTTGCTGTTTTCCCCCTCGTTACTCGTTACCCCATGCTTTTATCCCCCTGCTCTATCTGAAATCGAACAACGTGTAATTGGCCTGGCAGCACTTGCCGACAGGCGGAAAATTATAAGGTCCATGATTATCTTAAAATATTTGGATCTTAATGCCTTGGGGAATTTAAGCAGGAAATCTTATATACAGATGAAAATTAATGGCGTTCTTTTCCTCATCCGTTTAAGCACATATTTAAAATTACCTAGTATTCTTAATAACATTTAGTAGCAGTTAATCATGTAATTTTAAATGTACAAGCTAGAAATCCATTGGATTCCATTCAAACCAAAAAGCTATGTTTATTGGTAGCTCAATTTATTGAGATGAAGTAATTATTATGTCGTGATAAATTTAAACTTAATGTTTTTCTTAGAAGACCATTATAATTTGTAGTAAAAAAAAACTTAACTATGGAACGTAGAGTTTTAAGAAAGTTTGCCTTCACAAAGAAATAAAATATATATATAAGGTCTTAAATTACCTCAATCGGTTTAAGAGTTTCAGTTAATTTATATCCAAAGGTTCGAAATTTACTTCCTCACCCATTTCAAAAGTTTTTCAATTCCCGATTACGAAAGGCCAAGTAAAAGCTTTTTTATATCGCCTACAATTAAGAGGCAATTACTCGGCCAACTTTCAACAAGTTGGGCAAAGCAAATAAATCGATTTTAGGTAATTTATTAATTGTTTTTTTTTCGCATAAATTGCGTTCAAGGCGAGGCGTCTGGCAAAATTACAGCCTATCACCGTTGGGCAGTTACATAACACATGTACCAGAACTCTTAATGCGAGACAAACTTAAGTCGCATAAACAAACGTTAAGTAAGTCTGAAATCAGCACAGCACACGCCCAAACGCCTTGGCTGCATTTTTTTTTTGCTGGCCATTCGGTGGAAATGCGGAAAAACGCAACCAAAGTGGAACACGAAAAATTTGTTACTAGCACTCGGTTTACTGCCACAGGCCGAGAAAAAATGCAGCCGGTCGCGTAAATTAAAAGATCTGCCAAATGGCAAATAAAACTAAAATTGCAAATAAAATAAATGTTAGCGTATGTCGGTGCAAAATCAGAATTAATGATAAACTCAGGGAAAAGTGAAGAAATCGATGGAGACCAATGAAGTTGTTTGCTCAACTTGTTGACACCTTCTCTGCTGTCAACTGGGTTTCAATGTGAATGCCAGGCATTTATCGTGCACATTTATCATACGCACTGTGTGCCAAAAGCCATTTAAGTGTCGCTAACTCAAATATTGATCATAATTCAAGTGCCCAGCGATGCTGCAACGGGTGAAGAGAGAGAGAGAGAGAGGCTGCTCCAACAATTTCCAATCGCACTCGAATTTGCATTTGCACACAGAAAAAAAATGTAAATGTAAATATATTGAAAGCTAAATCAAGTTCGTTGCCTAAGTCATTTGTTTTTTCAATTTGTTTTTGTCACAGCACTTGTATTTGATTCTAATCTCTACATAGTTTTTGTACAGGGAATAAATCGACTTATTTATTAGTACCTTATTTTTCTCAGTGCAGAGGCTGTTTGGCCCATGTCATCTGTGGCAATTTGTTGCTTGGCTTTGCCTGCAATTTGTTTATGGCACATGTCGTTGTTGCTGTTGCTGACATTTAAGTAAAGTCGCGTGTGCGGGGACATTGAACTTTGGCGTTTCGTATTTGTTTCTTCGATTTTTTCGGTATTTTCAATAAATGCCCCAAAATATATTGAGAGCAGAAGCAAGTTCGTTGCCTAAGTCATTTGTCTGGCTGATTTGTAACATTTCTGTTCCCATACGCGTTCATGGGAACTTTAGTTGTCAAATGAATTCCCATAGATTTCAGTCGATATAAACATTAGATAAATTTGATCTGACTCAGCTTAAGAACCATTACAGTTCCACTTCCTTAATAGATCTTATGTTAAACATGATCTCAGCTGGTGGCCAGTTCTAGCAGTAGCTCAAACGTCCAACCAGCTTGACTCACTGTTAATATTTTAATTATAGCATTATGGCCGATACTTAATTAGCCCTGATCACGCCTGGTGCCAAGTGGGTGTTCGTTCGATAATCGCCAAACAAAAAGCCAATTAAAGCTGAAACGAAATCGTAAGCAAATTGAATTGAAAGCATTTAGGTGTCTGAATTGTTCAGTCAACGATTTAGTAGCTAACCTTTTTCAAGGCCACGCCTGCCGCTGGCTGGCTCTGTTTTACTCCAGTAATTATTGCAATTACAGAGGCGATAAAACCGAACCGAGAGACCGAGAATAGTGTGGAAACATGGCTTATCTAGATCGCAGATTATTTGCATAAAATGTTCAACTATGCAAATTGCAGCTAATTTTTATGACTTGGCCAGCGTCATTCAAACGCAACTCATATTCATATGGCTTGTCATACCGCCGTGTGCAGGCCAAGAATGTTGACTAGAAAAAAAGTTCAATAAATTATTTTAACTGCCTGCCCGAAATGGAGTTCGCCGGTGTCAGTGATTTGACAAATGTCGATGGAAATTTAATGCTATCATGCCTGCTTGTATTAATTTTAAGCTTACCAAGGAACGAACATACTTCATTAGATTCTATTTTATTATGTAATAGAGCCTGCATGCGGTTTCTCTAATTAATTGACTCTAATTTCTCATTTTCACCTTCTTTTATTTGCAGGAGGGCAGCATCGGTCACGATCTGGTGATCAAGCCCTTGCCGCACGAGCTCAGTCCCAATCCAGAGGAGTCCCATCACATCATCTACAAACGGGAGGCATCCGCAGCAGAAGACCAACTGAGTGACTTTGGTAAGATATATGTATAATCCGGTACCCTACGTTCTTAATGGGCGCATTGACCCATAGAAAGGCATAGAAACGAAACCCCGGCTCATAAATCTCGGTCCCCAGATCGACGTGATGCCGATAGTATTTCCTGCTCGACAAAAAAAAAGATATAAAAGAAGCATATGCAATCACTTAAGCTGAAGAGTTCAATGTAACAATTCGCCCTTCGCTAAATGCATTTACCCCTGCTGCAGTTGTGGTGGCGCCAAAATTCCAGCAATACAATAATCACTATAAAATTATTTATTTAATGCCTGGTATTTCTCACTGTCGGCTTTTTTGCCGAAATGCCCCCAAAAATTATACCCAATACAGTTAAATGTCCGGCTACCTGACTTGCCAGCTTCTTATATCATAATAAAGACATTCCACCACTCGATTTTGCTTAATTTTTTGTATTTAATTCGCCATTTCCGGTTATCGTTTTGTATTTTTCTCTCTCTGGCATAGCCTTCATGGAACCTGATGATCTGGTGGCCAGCGAAAATCTTGAGAGATTGCAGCGCCGCCAGCGTCGCAGTCGACGCAGTGCGCCCAAGAGTCCCGACTTCGAGGACCTCAACGACGAGGACGAAGGCGCCCTGGAGGCGGAGCCCCAAGTGGCCGAGTCCCGGGCTCGATCCCGCCGCCAGGCCCCGTACATCATCTATCCCGAGGTCTTGGTTATCGTCGACTACGATGGCTATCGGCTGCATGGCGGCGATAATTTGCAGGTACGTGTGCGTGACAGGGCCACAAAAAAATGGGGGGAAAAATGGGAGAAAAAACTGGTGAAAAAAAAAGAAATTAAGTGACGGTGCCGCGAATGAAGTTGTTTCGGCAATTGCAGACAGCTCAAATTGAGATTGGGATTGTCTCTGCGTGTGTGCGGATTTTCGACCGCCATTCGATGCGATGCCGTCGCACCCAACCCAACCCGGAGGGGATTTCAAAGTCTGAGGATTTGTAAAAGTTGTTTTTTGTTGGTTTCTCCGTTGCTACATGTGTAGATATTATGCGAGCCAAGACATATGTTCGCATTGATAGATAGCTCTGGTTGTGACTGAGACTCGAGTCCCCAAAGGCGATTATATTGGGTTGAATTGGGGATTTATTAAAGTAATATATTTTATTAGAGCAATAGCTGCAACTTGCACATAAAAATCACTTTCAGTAGAGTAAATTAAATAGACAAATCAAGTTTGTAACTTTTTTCAAGTTTTTCTTTATCAGAACTCAGGTATAGTTTTTTTTATAGCCTAATTATTATGCACATCACTCTCGCTTGAGATTTATTTGTCTGCCTGAACTGGGTGCGTTCTAGCCGAAAAGAATACCTAGAACACACAGAGATGCGGCTCAGATGAAAGTTTAATGTTGATGGTTAAATCTGACAAAGACAAACGTGCAATGTACTCACATAACTTATATCCCCAACCCAGGTCAAACGCTACTTCATCTCATTCTGGAACGGAGTCGATCTGCGCTACCGCCTGCTGAAGGGTCCAAGAATACGCATCAGTATTGCCGGCATTATTATTTCAAGGGTAAGTACACAGAAAATATACAAAAATATTAAATCAATTTAATTTTAAATTTGTATTTTGCCAAGTTTGCTAAGGGAAATAGTAGGTTCTTATGTTTTTATAAACTTTTCAAAGACTTATTTCCAAAACATAGGTTTCCTGCAAAATCTTTTTTATTCAGCAATGATATTGTCACATCTTATTCTTAAATATAATTGAAAGAAAATATATTGCCACGATTTCCCAGATATCCGTTTTCATTGTGTACCCTTAGCAACCCTTTTTTATGCCCCTCCAGCCAGATCGTTACACAATCACAGCAATTCAACTTTCATTTGGCTAATTGAGTAATCCATTTTGGAAGCTAAGCTTTGACCCCTGGCCAAAATGGGTCTTGCCAATCGGGGCAGCTCTCCTTCGAACCCAGACCCAAGTAGCCGCAGGCTGGCCCAGCCAGCTCAATTCCGAATGGACTGTCACGATCTGGGAATCTGGCTGGGAAAAACTGGCAGAAAAAACATGCAACGCATGCGCTTCGATTCGTTAGAAAAAATGTGAACAATCAATTTGGTTATTTGCTCGGGCATAGCACACAAAAAAGCCAGGCCAGCAAATTTTAACAAGTTTTTTACTCGAACCTGGCTAAATGTTTTTCTAGAAATTAGCCAAATAAATATTTTATGGGCACGCGAATTGAGGTAGCCGAAAAAGTTGGCTTTAACCTTCTGGCACCGCTTATATCCTGACATGATTTTTTCAATGGGTTTAACTATTTAAAGGTGGCTAAAAAACCATTTGAGCTGAATTTAAAATAGTTGTTCTAGCTTTATTTCCAAGCCCTCAAGGCAATCATAAGAGCCATTTTAAACTGGCTCAAACCACATATTTTAAGAAATAATTATACAAATCATAAAAACTACTCTAGGCTGGCTTAAGTCACACATTTTTTAGAGGCATGTGGCAGAAGCTTTATAAATTAGAACCCTCGAAAAGAAATGCGAGTAAGCTTTATAAAAATACAGCTTTGGTTTCCTCTTACATCAATTTGTGCCGTCGTGAGCGATCTCTTTAATGCCAGCTAACATCTTTCACTTATCAGCATTCAACTAATTTGATTGCATAAGTGAAAACCATAAAACACTTTGACAACATTATAGCATCGTGGCTTCGTTTTGTCTCAATATTGCGGGCAAAGTAACCGAAGAGACTTTCGGTTAGACTTTCTCACACAAATCAGTTTGGCGTTGCTTCAGGAAGCCATTTGTCGACGTTGGCCAAGAGAGAGAGAGATGGAGAGTGGGCCAAGAAAGTGGAAAATTGGCACAGACTGGGATCTGCGGCTCATGGTGGCTCATGGTGGTTCACCTGCACAACAGACGCCACCGGTTGCAGTCCCAGTTGCATCAAGTTGGCTGCCCACACGACAACTCCGCATCGAGGAGACAACGATGTCGACGGGTTACCCTAAGTACGTCAATTGGCTTTGGCTTTGGTTTTGGCTGGCTTTTTAGCTTTGGCTTTTTGGTTTTCTGGCTCTAACAGTGGAGGCAAAAAATTATTTTCAGACCGCATAAATAATGCAACAGCGCCTGCTGCAACTGCGTGTTGGCCGTGGTTACATAATCTAATGGGCCACGCTAACTGCAGTCGGCAGTTGACTCAGATCAGATTTTTTTCGGCTGGCATGTTTTTATTTTCCTCTTTTGCCCAATTTCACACAAGCAAACGAGACTTCCTCTTCTATGCCCACACACACACACACACATTCACACACACCGTCGCCAAAATGCGTATCTGGTGGCTACAGGTACATATAATGTATCTTAGCATCCGTCGCTAAACATTTTTTCATTTTTTGCGACGCTAATTAATGTTGCCACGACCAAGCGAGAAATGGAAGTCGGGTAATTACTCAGAATTTGAATTGGGCAACAAATTATTGGATACACATATCCGATAAGTCGACGCGATGGAAAAACAAGAAATCTGAACGAATTTATTGGGTTTTTGCGTCATTTTATCGGAAGAGATTGGGCTGATAAATTGTTTGGTCAACAGGAGCTCGTGCCGATCACTTTACATATTAAACCATGAAATATGAGTGCAAATTTTAGTTTGCTGGCTGACAAAAAAAACACAAACAACTTGACCCCAATGCCAGCAACAAAACACCAAAACAGCCAATCGTTTATTTCATAAAACAAAAAGACAGCAAATGCACGAAATCCCAAGTCACATAAATTAATCACCCATTGACAAATAACTAAGAGAATTACTTAGGCCACAACTGCAGAGATCTGCAAGAGTTGTTCAATTAATTGATTCTAACTGAGACTCGAAAAACAAATAAATAAGCCGCAACAAAATGACAACAAAACGCTGAAACATTAATAAGCCGCAGACTGCGTAACTCAACTGAGTGCGATTGAGGTCCGAAGGCGTTGAAAACTGCAAATCGAGCCTGGTTAAAATCATTATTTTTTCCGCAGAGGCAGAACAATGAGCTCAGATCGAGTGCCAACCCAGTTACTTTTAAAAGCCAAAAGTGGCAAAATCAAAAATTCTAATCGACTGGCCAGCGCTCAAATTACACTTTGCCAGGGGAATATTAAATGGTTTTTTTTAGTACAAAAGGGTAAATGAGAGTGTATTCATTGGAGTGCTGTTTAGAAAAACCGCTTAAAAAATAATTAAAATATCGTTAATGTGTAATGACAACAAATAATTGATATTTAATCAAAGCGTTGTATTTAGTGAGAGGCTTAGGACTATAAACCACTGCGAAACCCAATACTAAGTAACAGCCCGTCGAGCTTTGACATATTTCTCCATGTTCGCCACACGATACGCACCTAATAAATTGCGCATACGCAACGTTGCCGCAGTTGGCCGCATTGAAATATGTGTGTGGCGCAAGCGCAGTGCCAATGCGTTCGACACTTGTACAGCAGGCAGCAGACAGTGGGCAAAAGGGGCTGGTGGTTTAACTTCTAACGGAAAGTTGCCCGCAATTAATTAAAATGTTAATTAAATGTCACAGATAAAAGTTCAAGTCAAGTCGGTAGCCGACTTAAGCTACCCCCACGCCATTCCGTGCTCAGATCCGAGCAATATATGATCTGATCTCTATAGTGTTGGCTTTATAAATCTATATCTATGGCTTGTTATGATCACCTGCACACAGTGCTATCGGCCCCAGGAATTCAAGCCACTTGATTAATTGATCCGCTTGGGTGGAGTCTGGCTCTGGTTTCCCATTTCCCATTCCTCACTCCCAGAATTCTGGTAACTGAGAGCCAGGGCTATCCCAATTTCAGCGCAATCGACATTCTCCACTCGCTCTTATCTCAACGACTCTATCTAAAGTGCCACAGAAATGCCAAATAATGCACGAACGACACACCCAAAGACACACAAATCTAGCTGCCTTTTGCCCAGTTCTCATATTTGCAAGTTGTCATAACAAATTCCGCGACTAACGAAGCTGGGGACCAAAAGTTCGGGATAGGGCATAGCCAGGTGTTGCCCCCAGGGCACATTTCTCGTACTCCCAGATCCATTTCCATATCCATATCCACATCCACATCCATATGAGTGGTGCCGGTAGCCAAAAATGCAAGTGCCAGACAAACATAAATTGCAATAATGCAAATGGAAATGAGAAGCGAAGCTCAGACAGAGCGACAAGCAAACAAATAAACAAACAAACAAATAAAATGCTGGCCAGGGGCGCAGCTGAAAAAGCCGGAAAAGTCGCCGGGAATTGAGGGGCAGTTCAACAAAACACCCTAACGGAAAGTGGCGTATATGAAAAATGATACAACTTGCTAATGCCTGATTCGACTGACACATATACTAGAAACACTTCAGGCAACTCTCTCATCATCACTTCTGGGAAATTCATTTATTTTACTACCACAACACAAATCAAATTAATTGGTCATTCATATGTCAAGTGCAGATATACATAAATCAGTCAGGAGAATTAGCTAAGCTGAGGGTGATGACACTTTTTATAGGGGAATAAACCTATTTAAATATATTACATTGTGAGTTTAAATGTAAAAGTCTTTAATGAAGTTGTGACATTTCATTGCACGTAAAGGCAATTCATTTGGCATTTTCCAAATATTTGTAAATTAAATGGAAAACCAGATTGATCTTTACCTTAGTAACAAGCAGGAAAAGGCAATAGTGTATAATTGATTAATTCAATTATATATTATTTGCTTTTCCTGCTTTTTACTTTTACCACGTTTTTTATTTTAATATTTTTTAGGCATTACATTTTTAAGGACTTTTGGGTAAATACTGAAATAAAAAACATTAATGAAGTAATTTAACACTAAATACAGGAAAAGGCCAATAAAATGTAATAGCTCTAAATGAAGGCTTTTAATTTTTGATGACTTTGTAATTTCTATGCCTGGTGGCAGGGTATTGGAAAAGGAAAAGTATTCCCCATATCTTGACCCAAAAGCCCGTCCACTCTGTGGGTGGTGGCCCGATCGAGCCGCCTGTCGCCCAAGTCCGACTTATCCGCTGTGTGGGCGCCGAAAGTCAAAGCGTATGTCATTGCAGGGGGCGGAAGGGAGGTGGGTGTGGTTGTGGGTGTGTGTGTGTGTGTATGTGTCCGAGTGGGTGTGAGCCGCCTGGGTTGTGCACCCCACCACCCTGTTGGATAGTTTAGTGAGCCTTGCGAAATGCTAGAAATTACAGGCAATTGCATTGACAGTTTTGTGTTTTTTTTTTTTATTTTCCGCAAGATTTATTTATACGCCCAGCCCAGGGAAAGGAGTTGAAAAACCTGTGCCCCAGTTGGGGCTGCAAAATTGAATTAAAATATAACATTTTGCTTTTAATTACGCACAAAAGGCTATTGCAAAACTGTCGCCAAGTTTTAGTTTATTTTTAATTTTTGGGCGAAAGGCAAACCGGTCCCGGGTTTAGTGGCTCGGTTACATTTTAGGTCCTACTGACAGTTTCTTTGATAAGTTTTTGGTCTAGCCAATAACTTGACAAATGTTTTTTATATATTATTTGTTTGGAACTTTGGGGCAAGCGGTGCACAGTTGGCACTTGTATTGTGCAATCTATAATCAAAGATGTGCCAGGTCATCCATGGTCCAGTGGCTTGGGGAGATTGTGGATTGCGCCTGGGAGACACTTTATTTGCCTGTTGGTTGGCCTGTCTGCTGGTGGTCTACCTCTGTCTAAGGTTTGTCTTTCCCATGCCAACTTGGGTGACGTTGATGGCCGTGTATGGTTGAGATCTGGGCAAAGAAATAAGCAGCAAAACAATTAGTTTGCATGCCAGCTGGCTTAAGGAAGCGATTTCTAGGATTATGTAATATAAATTAAATAAAAGTTTGAAAATTACCCATACCTACTCAATTATAGATAGTGAAACAATGAGTCAGTGCCTTCGAACAACTTACAACTCCAATCGAGCTCATCAGCAATCCACTTGAGTGAAGCATCTTCCACATAACACAGAGACTGCTCTAATAAACCACTCAAAATGCAATTCCACAATAATTATTTGTAATTTTGTGGATTCCAATCCGAGCCAGTTGCCTTTCCCACTGCTTGGCCCAAGGCCACAATCGAAGCATTTAAAATTCTTGATAGTTTTGTCTGTCGAAAATTACCAAAAAAAAACTAACTCAATTCGAATTTTGGCTTCATTCTGGAGAACGACGTGCCCGCACTTTTAAATGATCAGTGTGTCAGGTCGTCCAAAAAATTGGACGGGAATGGGACAGAAACGAAACGGATAGACTTTGAGTGCGGACTGTTAATGTTGGATGGCTACAGATTCAGATTCAGATACAGATACACCCAATCGAGCGGATACGTTTTGCATCTCATTTGGCAATATACAGATTTCAAAACTCCGCTGCTTGTTGCTCTTTAGATCACTTTGTCAGACTCTGTGTTCATTTCCTAGACATCTGCTGTCTGTCCAACTAGTTGGTAATTTATCAAAAGACTTTGGTTCACCAGCTTAGATACAGGCAAAGCTTAGCGACGGAGTATCTCCGAGATTGTTTTCCAGCTGGCAAATGGCTGCAAATCAAATGTGTCAACCGAGTGCGGTTTGTCACTTAACTTTGGTTTTATCACCTGCACCTCCGGTGGAAACTGGAAGTGGAATTGAGAACTGCAACTGGTCTGGGCACACGGATTAGCCTTAAAGCCGTATTAACATATTGATTTGCCTAGGGCTCAAACTGATTGACAATTGTGTTATTTTAATTTATGTACCTGTCACTTCGATAAATCAGAAACGCCCCTTCGGTCACGATATGAGTGCTTACGTATCTGTGGACGAGTGCTGAAAGTTGCCCTCGGATGTGCACAGCTGATGAAATTGCCACTGCATCGAGCAAATGCAACTGCAACTGCCACAGCAACTGCAGCTCCAATTATGCAACGCACAATTGCAACTGGTTTTTTTAGTAAGGTAGCCTAACAATAAAAAGCAACGAATTTCCAAAGGCAGCCGACACGACTTTGACTTTGCTCGGCTTGAACGTCATCTGTACACTCTGGAAAAATAGGGTCATCTTAGTAGACAAAAATAGTAAACAAATGTAAAGATCTTAAAATTTGAAAAAATTTCGAACAACCAAATTTATTGTATTTTAAATTAAAAAATCTTTAATTTTGATCTTATTTTGTAGAGTGTGCAGATGATATTATAAATTTAGTATGTTATAAAAACTATTTTATACTTCTATTTACAACTTACTAATGAAACGAAATCACAATTTATATACAAAAGAGCTGATATTATAACATCATTATTTATTTTATTATACCCCCAAATTAGGTATTACATTTTTTTATGTGCAACTAATGCCGATCATCTGCTGCATTGGCCTTATCGCTAGGCTTGGTTTTAGCAGCACGTTTTTCACGTTCACTTGGTTTCCGTTTCGACTTCGGTTTCCAGCTTCATTTTCACCAACGAATGGGCCATAAATATTTCACTTGGAGCTCTTTTCATTCGCTCCGTCACATCTAGTCAAATGCCAAATCAGTTGCATCATCGCATTGAAAGCTTCCTTGGGGCGAATTTTTGTCGAATATTTTGCAATTTTCACTACCTGATGATGGCCTACTGTATTCTAATGTGGGTCACAGGGTTCAATGGGGTTTTAGTTTTACTCGGCGATTTTATGAGCCATAAATGTCAGCCGCAGGTAGTGACTTTAATGGCTAATATTTGCAAAGATCAAAAAAAGGGATTTAAGCTAACCAGTTGCCACATGACTATTTAGTTTAAGAGCTTGAAACGGCTATTTGCGATTACAATATTGTGCATTTTTTTGTTTATGTTCATAACTTTTAAGACACAAAGCATTTAATAAATTGTTAGTAATATAATGCCATTCCAAGGTGTTTTATGTTTATGTATTATGTATTATGTATTTTTGTATATTTTCATAACTATTGATATACAAATCATTTCAAAAATTGTTAGATAAAAATACCATTCCTACGTGTTTTATGGTGAAACAATTAATCTACTAATTTTTTCACATTACTATTTAGTGTTAAAACTTTAAGCGGCTATTTGTGATTACAAAAAATGAATGAAATGAATGATTCACTTTTTATTTATATTTTATTTTTTTGTTTATTTTTATAACTTACAAAGCATTGTTAGATATTATTAAGTATCATTTAGTAATCTTTCAATTTTGTTATTTTTCAGGGTCGTGACGCCACTCCCTATCTGGAACGCAATCGAGTGGGTCGGGATGCCATCGATTCGGCTGCTGCTCTCACGGACATGGGAAAATATTTGTTCCGGGAACGCCGACTGCCCGTCTACGATATTGCCGTGGCCATAACCAAGTGAGTGGGCGGGGGAATTGGCCATGTTACCGCCTTGTGTTTTGTGTTCTCGTTGCAGTATCGACAGCAGATTTATCTCCGCGCGATTTCACTCCCCCCTTACACCTTACCCCTTAAAACCTTTCCACTTTACCAAAGATTTCCCAAAAAAACACATATATATTATAATGTCTACTCGTGTCTAGGTATGATATGTGTCGCAGGCGAAAAGGAGGTCGTTGCACCAAGGGCACAGCGGGTAAACAGATTTCAAAGAAATTAAAATCCAATTCTAGACTTAGACTCACGACACTCATACATTACACATAGAACAACACCTAGAACATTTGTCATTGCGGGTGTTTAACATAGTTTAGTCAGTTTTTGGTTTGTTGCACCTCTCGAGCTACATGAAACACTTACAAACAAAAAACCGAATAAGTTGACTAAAAATGCGTGTGGGTCTTAATAAATTACTACCACAAATACACGACACACACACACTCACAAAAAACACCCAATTTACAACATTTAAGCAAAGGAAAAAAGTCAAAGTCGAAGCGTTAAACTAATTTGAGTAGCGGATCGGGCCATAAAGCATAGAACCGGTTGATTTATTTAGTTTATTGTATCTGCTTTAAGGTCTCATTGGTTGAAGCAAACATTTACATCAAGATTTAGTATTTAATTGTGGTTTATGCGCCTAAATTATTGGATACTCCTTATGGAGCAAAAATAACCCATTCAGTTAATTTTGAAAGTTAATTGGATATAACTACGTATTCTTGCCTTATATTTACTGTAAGATCTCTGCTAGAAGATATTTGATTAAGTTAATTTGATAGCAGTAGTTATTTTGGTTTTTATTCGGATTTCCGAAGATAGGATTCTTATAAATCTTCTCTTGCTCTTGGCTCTTAAACTGCGGCCCACCCAAAATATTGCCAAATATTTAATTGGGCTGGGCCCCAAATCGAAACAAAATAAAATCGATCAAGCAACGAGGGGAGATAATTGATTAAATGAAGCTGAAAACACCCCGATCGAAACCGAATCTAAAATTTCTACGCATTTTTGAACCATTTTCGCCCGCAGACTCGATATGTGCCGTCGCACCTCCGCTTATGGTGAATGTAATCGCGGTACCGCAGGTAAAGACCCAACCACTAGCTGGCAATTTGTTAGCCAACATCTGTACAGATAAATGCAAAAAAAATAGAAAAAATGATACAAAAAAGAAACACAGAAGTTAAGCAAACGCGTTAAAAATAAATAACATTAAAGGCGGCCACCGCCGAACCCAAAAATGCGTCGCTCCATCATCAACCAAATCAAGCAAATTTAATTGAATTTCATGCACGTCTCTTTGTCTCTATTTTTATCCTCGCTCCCTCTCTCTCTACTGCTGCTCCACCTCTCTCTTTCTGAGATCTGGAAACTATATAATTTATGTGTCTTTGTTTGTGTCGCACGCGCCTTTTTGTACAGCAAGAAGAACAAGAAGAACAGGAAATGGCTGCGCATGCGCCATTTTGGCAATTCTCCTCGGACTGTGCTGTTTCCTCTTCGCTCTTTAAGAACATATTCAAATTTGCCTTTTGTACAAAAAAACTTTTTCTCAAAGTGCAATTATCACCATTTCTTCTACTCCCCTTGATCTGCCTTCTTTTTGTGTATATATCTTTCAATCATCATTGATTGTCTCAGAAATCTCTTGAGAAAGTGTTTGTTTTCAAGAGGTTTGTTTTGGTTGTCTGAACTTCGTTTTTTACCCCATTATTCATATCGAAATATGTGACAACTGCATGTAATTTTTGCATAAAAAAAAAACAAGTTTATCAAATTTTCTCACCCATTCTTTTGTGAAGTATCAACACCTTCAAATAAATGTATATTATTTCGCATAAAATGTACTATTCATCTAGCGGTTTAAAAAAATCTTAGGAAAAAGAATATACCAAATTTTAAATGGAACAACGAATTTCGCGAGCCTGTATAAAAAGATTTTAGTAATCTAAAATTCAACTAGACTTGGTAACTAAAACAAGGTTTTGGATTTACTAACATGAGTCTACTTATAACTACACTTTATGGTCTATAGACACACTATATCTAAGAAATGGTTATTGTGACTAAATTTACACATTGAAACTAAACTTACACCTACTAACTTATTGCTCTCTCCCATCAAATCACAATTACTAAAGCGACCCGCTTCTCCCAGCGGTTACAGTTATTATGTAAAAAAAAATATCATACAATGTTTGAAAGTAAAAAAAGAGAAACAAATTGCTCAGTTGCGAAAAAGAAAAAACATTAGATTTTTCATTTAATAACTGCAACGGCGATGGTGACTTGAAAAAAATTGTCAACTTCCTGTTGGACAAGAAACCAAAAAGCAAATGCAACAGTGAAAAACAACCCACTAATTGCCTAATTTCGGTCGTGTGTTTTCTTTCGGAAAAGGCTTCGCTTACGTCGGTGGCGCATGCGTTGTGAACAAGCGACTGGAGAAGGTGAACAGCGTGGCCATCATCGAAGATACCGGTGGTTTCAGCGGCATTATCGTGGCTGCCCACGAAGTGGGACATCTGTAAGTAACGCCTTGTTCATGCAGTGAAAAAAAACTTAAAACTTTCATTCTGTTTCAAAGGAAATTGAACTAGAAATTTTTGATGCATTCCATCTTGAATATGATTTAAATGATTGACATGTTAGGAAAAAAGAAAACAAATACTTATATCACTCTCAGAGATTGGAAATATAGTTAATTTTCTTAATTTTTTAATTGTAATTGAAATAATACCATTTAATTTACTTTCTTTGACCGATTCCCAAACGGAACCTTTTTTCCGCACTAGTCAAACTATTTTCCACCAAAGTCAAACTATTTACCGCCCCGAATCTCCGATTCGAATTTCATTTGGAGCCCAAGCTTATAAAAAAAAACATGAATAATTTCCGCTGCCGTAAACTGGTAGTTGAAACTCGTTTGCATTTCCGTTTGACATCATTCGGGTTGCAATTAATCAATTAACATTTTCCCCCTCAATCATAATGTGTCCCCTGCTCGTTTCTCAGGCTGGGAGCGGTGCATGACGGCTCGCCGCCACCGAGCTATTTGGGTGGACCAGGTGCCCAGCGGTGTCGCTGGGAGGATGGCTACATCATGTCCGATCTGCGCCACACGGAGCGGGGATTCAGATGGTCCGCTTGCACGGTGCAGAGCTTCCATCATTTCCTCAAGTGAGTAATGGGTTTTTCCTCAGACGTGGGATGATCTGATTTGACTTGGCTATTTTGTTTACGCAGTGGAGACACGGCCACCTGCCTGCACAATGCCCCGCATGAGGACAGCGCCTTGGGTAGATCGCTGCCGGGAACCCTGCTCTCGCTGGACGCCCAGTGCCGCAGGGATCGGGGAACGTATGCCTGCTTCAAGGACGAGCGAGTGTGTGCCCAACTCTTCTGCTTCGACGCCCAGACAGGATACTGTGTGGCCTACAGACCAGCGGCCGAGGGCTCGGCCTGCGGTAATGGTTATGTAAGTAGTTGGTGCACGATGAGGGTGGAAATTCTCTTAAGCGGACAAAAACGGACAAGCTGTCCTTTTGTAGTTGTCGTACTAAAAAGGAGACAAGACAGCACATCCTTTAAGAACACATCTGTCCAAAAAACTTAAGCAAATATTTAAACAAACACTAACACAAAAATCTCCTTTAAATCTTAGCACTGTCTGGATGGTCGCTGCACACCACTGCCCTCGAATATCATTCCCGACTACGGACACAACTATCGTTTAGTCTACAAGTGAGTACAGTAAAATAGGTAACTTATTCAGTAAAGACTGTTTTTCCAGTAGTTTTGTTGTGTAAGCTAAGAGTTCTCTTATTACTAAAATTACAAAAAACAAAAAACAAAAAAACACACACACAACTTTTGAGTTCCAAGTACACAAATACACTCAGAAAGCAAATTTTTTAATATACAAACTTTTACACCTTTACACACCAATTCGAAACAACAACAACAACAATACCAACACCCAAAAACACAACAACTTAACAACAACAACAACATTAGTAAAATCAACAACAAGAAAGATGCAGCGGAAGAAATTGAGAGTAGTAGTGAGGAGACGGAGTCCCAGGAGGACGAAAATGAAAGTAATGAGGATCAGGATGAGGGCAATACAAGTAGCGAGGAGCAGGAGGCCAATCAGCAGGACAACAGGATCGAGCAGAGCTCTGCCGCTGGCGCCGCTGCTGTGACGACGTCGACGACAACCACCAGAGCAACAACCACAACAACCGCGAAGACAACAACAACCACTGTGAAGCCCAAGTCGAAGGCTTTTGGCTATCTGCATCGCAGTCTGCCCGAAGGACAATGGATGCAGGATAACGGTGTGCTGGTCAAGACGCGCATCAGCAGCAGTGTCAGCAGCAGCAGCAGCAGTAGTAACAGTAACAGCAACAGCAACAGCAACACCAACGCTGACCCCGCAGCAACATCAACACCCAAGCCCCGAACAACTACTTCAACAACAACAACCACACAAACACCGAACCTATTCCAAATCTATACACACGAATTACGCAAACAAATCGAATACTATTTACACATGCTACAGACACAACAACATGCTACCAAATTGCAACCAGAACAACAGCAACAGCAGTCACAACAACAACAGTCGATAGTTGAAATCCCTTTGGTACAAAAACGCCTTACAAATTATAGTGTAACCAGCAGCAGTAGCAGCAGCAACAGCAACGGGGCAAAACAACAACAGCCACCGAACGCCAAGGATGAGAACCAGAGACAGCAGCAACAACTCCAGGAGCAGCAGCAACTTCAGGATGGGCTGCCCGATGAGGAGAACGAGGCGACTGCCGGCATTCAGAGCAATGAAGCGATTGAGCGGCAAAAACGTAAGTTCCCCACACCACCCACCACAGCAATTGTGTCTGCAACAAGTGCTGCCAAGCCATCAGCAACACCCACATCAGCAACAACAACAACAACAACAACAACAACCACGGCCAGACCGATAACAACATCATCATTTCTCGATGTGTACTTTAAAAAACTGCAAGCCTTGCATGATGGTGGTTCGGCCACGACGACAACCACCTCCGTATCGTCATCAGTCAGCAGCTCGGCAACATCCAGTAAGCAGCAGCATGCCCAGCAGCAACATGCCCAGCAGCAACAGCAACATCAGCAGCAGCCAGATGGCAGCGCATTTCTGAAACGTACGCCAAACCGGAGTAGTATTAAGGCATACAAAACTAGTAGTAGCAGTAGTAGTAACAGCAGTAGTCAGCCACAACAGCAACAATATGTGACAAACTATATTGGCGACACCACAAACAATCTGCCAGCGGTGTTGGACAATAACGGTGGTGCGTCGAGCACCACCACGGAAACCGCCAAGAAACCCAAAATCAAAACACAAAAACTCATACGCCGCACACGAGTCATGTAAAAAACGATCTGAAGATCTGAAGATGCGGCAGACAACTCTGATACCAATTATCATAAGCTACTACATACTGCTAGCCAGAAAGAAACACTGATCACAGATCACAGATCCAGAACGCTGCTGGAGAAATCGAAACATCCGACCTTCGAGGGCCCCCCAACAACATTAAATACAAAACCACATACACTAGACAAACATCACACACAAATAAATGCTAAACCGATCGAAACCGTTACCGATATTCGTTATCCTTACGTGCGGTAAGCCCAAACCAAATCCAGCATTCAAGTCGGGTTCTTAACTCCCCCTAGTAGTCTAAAGCTTTGCCCTAAAGTATGCTACGAATTACAGTAGAGCATGGATACGCGATAGTTTTAGTAGTATTTTTATCTTAATAGAGCGTAATCGCTGCCTGCCCCTTAATAAATAAATATAATCCTGGTTATTGAGGTTGACGAAACGAAATGCAAGTGCTGAAACTCATGCGTTAAGGTCCATTTAGCTGTAATATGGATTTACCACGTATTTTAAGCATTTGGCATCTGGCATTGCATCGATCATACCTAACTTTGTAGTGTGGAAGCGCTTTGAGAGCGCTCCATAAAGTAGTTCTTGAACTTTAATTTTGGCATGAACTTAAAAATAACTTAGTATATCATTTCAGTCCACCCGATTCGAAACGTAATCATTGTCTCCGAAAGGCAGGCAGATCTCGATTAGGATATTCGCATTCACACATCCGCAGACCTCATAAAGCATGCTTGAAGAAAAAATCTCATACCACCCTTTATTAAAATCGACGATCTGAATCTCATCGCTGACTTCCTCTATATTTTGCGCGGCTATTCTCTCGCTCTATTTTTTTCAAAATCGCATCGAACATCGAACCACCACCACACATTAATAAACAGTAAAATCTAAATAGAAACAACTTGGCAACATGCTCACACATACCAGCATACAAAAATACACGCTCTTTTTCTCACACCACCACACATGCATACACACTGTTTGATGGCAAAACCAAAAGAAACATCTATAACTGTAGCAATTAAGTACTATATTTGATCAACAAGAATGGCATGGAATCAGAGTCGCATTCTGCATACTAAAAATAAGACAGCAAAATGGCAAAAGTGAAACAAAGTAATTTGGCAGATGGAAACGCATGGAATGGAACACACGCACATACCACACAACCACCCACACAACTCAAAATGGCTGGCGTCTGCAAAAATTTTTATCTTAATTGCATACAAAATATACCCCAATAAATAGCTCATTGTTTTTGCACGCCCCACAAAAGTAGTATTTAGCTGTATCACTAATTTTCTTTGTTTTTCTTCTATTTTACCCGTTTCCGCTTCCGTTCCGTTCACGCATTCCGCAGTGGTTAACTGGAAGCTGTTTCCGTTCTAGTGAAAGTGCAAGGCAGCAACATTGGGGAACGTTTGGAACTGGCATGCAGACGTCACTGCCATCGAAATTGGAACAAATGTTTGCAGTTAAAAAGTGTTTTTAGCTAGAATTTATTACTATTATTATCTGTATGAAAAACTATTGATTTGTTGTTAGATCTAGCCGCAACTAATTTAAAAATATTTTCTGTTAATTACAACTCGAACAACAGAACAAAGTTGTTATGTTCAGTACATGCATATATTATGTAATTTAATTTAATGCAAATTCTTGTAAAATAGTACATATTATTCTGTAAAAAGTTCATCTACGCACGCACTTTTGGCAGACAACCTAAATTATTCTTTGAGCCACAAAACAATCGAAAGGAAAATTTATAATAACCCCACTTTCCAATGTGATAAACATATATAATTTGTACACTTTACGTAACAAAATATTTAATCATTTTCTTTTAGAAAAATGCTATAAAGGTTGAGAATAGTTCACTTACTTACCTTGCCGCACTTTGCCTACAAGAAAACTTAATTTGTTCATTCCATTATTGTATTAAAACTATTAAATGTCTAAATTAAAAACAAAAATTCATCACTCTACTTTTACCTAGCCTAATGCTCTTTTTTATACAGCAAACAAAAAATGTAATAGATAAGTTTTAGTTGTAGTTAACTGAACATCATATAATAAATGAAACTGTACATTTATCACACACACAAATGAAACGAAATAATAGTTTAAGAATAAATATATATAAAGAAATTTACTTGTACAAAATAGTACAGTTTTTTTTCTATTCAAAGAACTTGGGAATTTTTAAATTGTTTAAGAATTCAAACAAAAACTCCTCTTGACGTGGGAAAATTAACGTGACGATCGCACCTATAACTCCGAAAACAGAAATGTTACCAAAAAACTACAATTTTAAATCCATAACTTTTCTTTCAAGCATGCAAATTCACAGTGGTATATCTTAAAAGTCCTCTGGCTTAGTTCTCTAAAAATCTGTTATAATTCATTTTCCGCAAAATAGCAGAAAATTAACCACAAAATTAACCAAAAAACTACAATTATAAATCCATAACTTTTCTTTCAAGCAAAAACTTTCTAAATACCTGCATTTAAATTTTATTTAAAAATATTGGGTTGTTATTTTTACGATATAACTCCTTAATTAATTTTTGAAAAATAGCATTACAGAAATGGCATCAAAAGCCTCCAGTTCTAAGTCCATAACTTTTCTTTCAAGCATCCAATTTCGAAGTTGTATATCTTAAAAGTCTTCTGGCTTAGTTTTCTTAAAATCTGCGTTTAAAACTTGGTAAATGGCCTGTGCAGAAAAGTGAGCAAAAACCTGCCGTTTTAAATCCATAACTTTTCTCTGAGGCATCTGATGTCAAAGTGGTATATCTCTAAAGATTCGTGGCTTAAGCCTCCAAAAATCTGCATCTTAATTTTATTTGAAAACATTGAAATGTTATTTTTACGATATAACTCCTAATTCATTTTCCGCAAAATAGAAAGTTAACCAAAAAACTACAATTCTAAGTCCATAACTTTTAGCTCCGAAACCAAATGACTTTCTAAAACTCTTAGTATGCACAAACTCCTGTAAAAGTGGTACCTTTTGATTGCTATATAATTTTTTAAGATCGGAGTGTTCTTAGCTGACTTCGAATATTGCGGCTATATGAAGTAGTTTCTTCAGCACGCTTACCGGTCCTCATCGTCAGTGATGTAGCTAGAATATATCAAAGCCTAAAATTATGCTTTAAAATATTCAAAAAAAAAAAAGAATTAAGTACGAAGTATATTTAATTCCAGCAAGATAATAAAAGCATAGATGATAAAATTTATTTCCAGCAAGTACAGTTTCTTATCGCTAGCTTAGAGAGTGACACAGCGCTATACCAAAGGTCCAATCACCGTATGTGGGTAACTAATTTAAAACAGCAATTAGCAAGAGTATGTAAATGAAGAGTTAAGGTAAAAAATCTCCTGGCAAGTCCAGCATTTTGTGGTCCTTCGTTTGCCACTTTATGCGCCCTTTGTGCCGGTGGGCATTAGATAGCGATTGTAGGTGACCAAATTCTTCACCAGAGCCGCAACGGAGAGCATGCAGACCATGCCGGCAGGCATAAGTTTTCCGGAACGATTCCACCGGGCGCCCATTAATCCGGCCAGGAACAGGGAGGTGCCCAGTTGGAGCAGGGGGCGTGGCGTGTTCTGGGAGTTTAGATGGGCCCCATAGCCGAGCAGGGCTCCAAAGGCCAAGCCCGCTCCCAACGAGGGAATGGAACCTAGAAAACGAATAAGGTTGCACAATAGAATGGCAACCGGATATGATGATCAGGGGATCCCAACTCACCCGCCTTTGCGTATCCCATAACTCCGCCAGCGGCAACAGTGGCAGCGTACACATAACCAAACCAATCCACCGACATTTTGTTTTACTTTTCTTTGATCACTTTGTAATCTTTGTTTTGGTAGCAAAGCAAAGGTGTTAATACGACCCTTCCGTTATAGCATAAAAATCCATACTTCGATTTGAAAAAAATTTAATTATCTGGCATCTCTGTATAGCGGTCTTTTTAAACATTGGCGCTAGCTGTTTGCATTGGCATATGTTTTCAAATTATCTTTTGTATTTCAAACGCAACGCTTAATGTTTTCAGTACTAAACAATAAAACAACGTGAAAGCAATCACTACGTTTTCTAATTAATTAATTAATTATTAAAGGGATTATTTATATAAAATGTTAGTCCAAAAAAGTTGACTAATATTTTTTTATATATACATTTTTAATAAATGTTATTGAATTTTTTGTGGACTTAAGCTCAATTAATTTTTTCAAGTGTTTTAAACAGTTTGGTAGGAATACCTTTTTTTTGGTATTTTTTGAGTTTTACGATCTGGCCACACTGGCGAGCAGATGTTTCCGGATGGCCTTTGAACAGGCGTAAATTGAACTCAAATTGGCTTTATTCCCCGCATAACCCGTGCAAGTGCAATGAAACCGTGGACCGCCAGGAGAAGGGGGCACTGAAGGTCGAGGCATCGAAGGAACCGCCGGATAGCGACAGCATATAGCCGGAAACCGGAGGAGCGAACGCCAACCCGAGCCACCCTGTGCCAGAGTTTGTGACGCAGTTACACAACAAAATTCTCAGTAGGCGCCCAAAAAAAGGGGCTAAAACAAGCTGCTAGCTGAATCAACGTGGTTGCATACACACACCCACTGCACTGTGGAGCTCTAAGCCCGCCTAAACCCCCCGATTCTCGAACCCCTCGCGAAGGTACGTCCATCGAGCGAGGGCTATTTATAGCCGCGAACATGCGATTGCAATTGATTATCGGTTTTCTTTTCAGCTCAGGGACACTGCGCGCGCGGCTTTCACTTTTCAGAATCGTCGGCGAGTTCATTGGTCAACCTTCGCAATGGTCGTCGCCGCATCCACCTGTTGCACGGAGACGGTCTTCGAATACAGCTGGAAGAACGTGGTGGTGGCCTACTGGAACCGCTACCCAAATCCCTCCAGCGCCCACGTCCTCACCGAGGACACCATCCAGCGGGAGGTGCGCGACGGCAAGCTCTTCTCCCGCCGCCTGCTCTCCAAGACGAATCCGGTGCCCAAGTGGGGAGCCCGATTCTACAACAATGTGCCGGTCAAGATTGTTGAGGACTCCGTGCTGGATCCGGTTAAGAAGACCTTCACCACATTCACCCGGAACCTGGGCATGACCAAGATTATGGCAAGTATCCACTTACCTACTGGGATTATTTCCGACAGCATACATGCTACCTTGGATATGGATAAAACCCTTGATGAGCATATTTAACAATTGATATTGCAATATTTAGCATTCAGTTTAGTGGTCCGGTCACCACGTCCACCGGGAACATTCAAGGTTTTGGCTTAGATGATCTTCAATCAACAGCCCCTAACGTACTAAGATTTGTCAAGATGCTAAAGCAGAATTTGAATTATTTATATTTTAGAAACAATTTATTTGTTTTATGAAGTTTTTTTTAACTCAGGCTCATTAACAAACATTTTTTATATACAAAAGTTTGATAGTTTTGTGAAGTTTGGATTTCTACTACTGTGACGAACTTATAAATGTATATATTTTATTCAGCTTCTGTTAAACTTGTTTCAACTTTCGTTTCCTAATATAGCCTTCATAATTAGTTATTAATCGGTAACATGCTAATTTTTCTTCTACAGAAAGTCGATGAAATCGTCGTCTACAGCGAGCAGAAGGACGGAAGCACCCTGGCCGTGCGAAGAGCCTACATCAGCTCGCAGGTGTTTGGATTTTCGCGAGCCATTCGCGCTTTCGGAATCGAGCGGTTCAAGTCCAATGGAAATAAGGCCTCCAACGGATTTAACCACGTGCTGCGGCGCATGTTTCCGCAAAGCCTGGTGGGTGGCGGACACCACCAGCCAGTGACGGCGACCACCTCAGCTGGGGAACTTCCAGTGGCCACAGTGACCACCACAGCAGCCACCTCATCCGGCAGTCACAGCAACACGGGTTCGCTGAAGAGCGCCGCCAAAGTGGGCTACGATTTCTTCAAGTGCCACGCCTCGAAGATTGCGCAACTGTTTTCTATTAAGAACTGAGGGACGAGGTGCTAGCCGGAACTCTCTGGAATAGATGTTGAGGAATCGAGGAATCCAAGCCTTCGGCGCCGGAGCGAAGGATGTGGCCAGGACGGAAGGGGAGGCAGAGGCGTCGTTTCGGAGGCTGTTTTTTTAAAACATGTATTCCAAAGCAAAAACCAATCATATACTTTGCTGCATTTCATTCCGTGTGTGCGCGAGCCAACCGGCTGATCAGAAAGGAGGCACTATTTGCTGAACACATTTCCTGCATCCTACCCGAATTCTACTATTTATCTTTAGTCATTGCATTACATTATTATGTACTATGTTCTGTTAGGTCGGGAAGAAATAACAAAAGCAGCGTGTCAAATTTGGGACTTCTTTGTAAACTGTTGTATATTTATTTTCAAGCAAATCGCTCACGAGTAGTTTTAAAAATTGTAATTATTAAAATACATTTAGTTTGGTTAGAAATGCACGGCATTCATAACTTTTTTTATTGAATTTAATTTACTTGGCTAGAAATAGAAACTTGTTTTAGTTGTTTTAATTAGCATACCATTGGGCAACATAAAAAAAAATAAAAATTTATTAATGTTATTAATGTATCAAGTTTGGCATATTCCGCCCTGATAAATATTTAAATATTGATCATTAATATTTACCATTGAAAAACGCCTCCTGGAAGCCAACGAATCCTCTATGGGCGATTGAACACCTTGACTTTGGGATGTGCCAGGATTTCAGGATTTTATTCCTCATTTTGTCTATTTAAAGAATTCAAAATATACAATTGTTAGTACTATTGTTATGCACTTCTAAAAAAAACTTCAAATATGCGTTAGAACCAACGCTGCCACATATTTTAAAGTAACGCAGCGTAGCCGTACCTTTAACCCATTTAAAACCGCCTCTGTCTATCTCGCTCGAAAGCTTGCTCTCAAAATGCCATTCACAGTAAAGTGTTTAGTACCGGTTCGCTCTCTGGAGAGAGCTCGTGCTCGCTCTCCTCGTTTTTTGCTCTTAAAGCTCTCTCGCCAGCGCTCTCTCATCTCCTATGTTATTAAATCTTTTTCTACATAAATGTTAGGAAAATTTAACTAACAGAGAAAAGTTAGGAAAACGATGATCTTAAACTTTGATTTAATTTGCTTCAAGTATATAAATTGAATAAATAATTCATCAGTTCCAATTATCGATGACCGTTGTTGGCGGTAGTGCATTTGGTGCTTTATATAAAATACTTAAAATTGATGAGCTATGATGAATTATATTTCATTATTTCAGCCCGTGTTGAGAAACGAAAATGATAAGTTTCGGACTTAGTTCCGAGCTTAGTTTAAAAACTAGAAATTTGAAAGTTTCGCAATCGCTGATCAAGTATAAAAACGGCGAGGATCGGTCGTCTATATCCTATAATTTATTTAAATTCCAAATTTTAGACGAAAACCACGGGTTCGGATAAGATCTGGTTCAGTTTAAAAGTTATCCGGAATCAGGGAACCAGGATTACGGAACCAAAATCAGAGTGTCAGTGTTGGAAAGGGTTTATTTAGGGGATTTCCCAATTCAAAAGCCATCGTTTTTTTTTAAACTGAAAATTAGTTTTTCCCCTTCTTAGTTAAATTTACGTTTTTTCGCTGAATGTAAACTAACAGAGTCTCTTCACTCTCTCCCTCTCATCGTGTTCGTCGGCTCGTTTCTCTTTCTCTTCGGTTCTGCTGTTTTCTGTTTTCCGTTTTACCGAGCGAGAATTCATTTTTAAAAATTTACCATAAATACCAGTCGCGAGCAGAAATTCTCACTCAGAAACGCCAACATCTCGCGTAAATCGCGCTACAATTGTAGTTATCGCATCGCCAACAATAACTGCAGCTGAAACCGGGAGACAATAGAGCACAAAAACACAGCAAATACCGTACAAATCAGCTACGTTTATGGCGCACCAGGAGGAGAGGAAGAATCAGCGCCCCGCCGCCCCCGCCCCTCATCACAAATTCATCAGCAACAACAACCAGGAACAGAGCTAACACGAAAAAAAAACAAACATATATTTTTGCTACCACTTTTGTATGGCTAAAACGCTCCATTGATTTATTGAGAGTTTTCGAGACGTTGCCAGCTGTTTTTGCCGCTTTTTCTCCACCCCTTCTTGTTCTTCAACAAAAGCGAGAGCGCGGTCAACGTCCTGCGAAGAGAGAGAAATACAGAGAGAGGGGTAAAAGCGAAGGTGAGCGAAAGGACACCGGCAGCAGTCTCTCCTTCTTCATCGCGAAATAATAAATATATTGTACATCTTAAGTGGCAAACAAAGTTGTTAAAGATAAGGCCCAAAGACCGGCACCCGTAATCAGCAACGTAATCCCCCGCGAACCAGAAAAACAAAAACCAAAATGCGCCTGTTTCCAGTCCGATTTTCCGCCGCCTCCTCCTCGATGGCGAGTTTGGCCAAAATGCTCGACTTTTACTCTGGATTTAATCCCTCGCCCCTCTCTATAAAGCAGTTTATGGACTTTGGTGAGTAACTCACTTTGTTCTTGATCCCTAGTTGTACCATCCACTGATCTTATCAAAAGCTATTGGGTAATCGACAAAATCGAATAATCTATGAGACCTAAAAAATGATCTTTAAATGGCATAACTTTTGTCTTGCTTTATTGTTTTATTGCATTTCAAAATTTAAGGAACACAACTCCAATGGAAAATGAGGTTTTGTTATTCTTTTTGGTTTCTCTAAGCTTAATGCACAGCCCAATTGCATAACATAAAGTATAGTTGGAAAACAATATAACCATTTTGTCTAAAATTTCAATTTTAATTTACAAAAACTTGATCCCTCTGAGCTGCTAAACTGCGCAAAATTCCCGTCATCTAATAGCCAATTTCGTTTCATTGAATTGTCAATTAAGCATTTGTTGTTGTGTCCGGCAAACTGTGGAGAGAGCGAGACAGAGAGACTGACACAGACTTGCAGTATAAACAATTGAATACTAAGTTCGGTTCAGCTTAGCTTTGGCTTTTCCTTAACCCCCCGCGTTTTTTTTCCCGCTTCACAGCCAAAAGCCTGTTGCAAAAACGGAAGTTAGAACCACTCAACTTGTTTATGAGGTGGCCATATTTGAATTGATAAACACGTTTGACAATGAAACATGAGGACGGGAAAGAAAAGCGCTTTTGTCCGCCCACACTTCATTGAGCGCTGACAGGCGGCACGTGGCCTTCAATGACGTTTCAATGTCAGGCCCACCAACCCCCACACTACATACATATATCCCGAAATCCAGGCCTTCAACCTGCCCCAATAACCAAACACGCAGCACTCAAGCCCACTCAAAATGAGTGGTTTTTCTACATAGAACAAATATGCTTAGTAAACTTTTTAAATGTTTGGTTTTTTCCTGAGACAATATCTGTTTTTTAATATTTATCTAAAGTCAAAAACATTTTATTAGCTAATTAATTATTAGTAATAATTTTGAAACATTTAAAAATATTACAAAACCTTCTTACATCAGTTCTAAAATATCATTATTTTTCTTCTTTCTTGGAGCTAATTCCAAAATACATTATTTTTTCCCGTGTAACAGGCAGGCTTGAGTGAAAACTTCTAGGGCATTCTCGTTGAAAAACTGGCTACTGACGTGAGCAGAAATAAAAGCCAGGCCAAGTGGCACGGCTGAAAAATAGCAGGGGAAAAGTGGGAAACGTTGGCCTCCGGAGGCTGAGCTATTATCATCTAAATTTAGACCAAAACAGCAGGCTTTGTTGCCTGCTTCCTATCCCTTTTAAGGCCGCCTGTTCTTTGCTGTTTTGTTTTTTAAGCAGCCTGGGGGTTTATTTATAAGCTACAAAACAACGGAATTAGTTTACAAGCTTTTATAGTCACCCGATTCGCCACCCCTCATCGAACTGACCAAGTAAATTACTAATATATACCTGGCTATACCTATACTTGAACTTTGATGTCGGTCCGTAGATAAGGCTGCTTTCGCTTTTGTTTTGTCCTCAACTGTACCCGGCACTTAATTGTGTTTTTCGGGCGTTTGTTGGGGTCCATAAACTTGGAGTAATTATGTTTATATCTATGGCGGGTGGCTTGTTATTGAAAACGAACATTATTAATATACTAGCATGCACTCGAGTGCTTGATGATTCAGGTTAACCATCGATTAGCGTAGCTTTGTAGGCTAAGTAAGCGAAGTGTAGAACTGCGAGTAAGGTTCTAAAATTCGCGCCTGAGTGAGGGGCCTTGTTTGTAAAGTCTGGTCTATAGTATGTTTCGAGGGCGTACACTAACTATGCCCATTTTGTTTATGCCGATTGTATAGTATTTTCCGGCAAAAGACCGAAGGCCATGTTTTGATATCAATGGAAAATATCGTATACAAAAATAATTTATATATAAGGGGCCCGGTTTGGAATTGATGATGATGGTTGATCATGTGCCAATTTTCCTTGTGACAAAGATACTTAATTATTTTGCTGAGGCAGGGGGCAAGATCGAAAACGCAATGTCTGACAATTCAAGTGTATATCGTATAATGGAAACATTCTGGTGGATCAGATCACCGTGACCATTTCGGGCAAAGTCCAGGATGCTGTCACCTCAATTCGCACACGAACTTTGGAACCTCTTTGGGAAAGAAAAGCCAAGCCGCAGACGTCAACAGTTGGCCAAAATAAAGACAAACCAGAAGCGAACGGCCAGAAAAAGTGTGAGCACCCCCGGCGATAATAAAGACGTAGTCGTAGTCGTAGTCGCTGCCTCACACGCGCCGTATTTTTGTCACAGGGCGAATGTGAGTCAAATATACATATTCGAGAGATTTGAGAGAAATTCTGCCGTAAATTGGATGCCAATGATTGGGCTGATGCAATAGAAGAGAGCACTTACCACGCTCGAACAGCTGTTTTACAATAAAAAAAAAGGGGATGGCCAGCTGTGACGTCAGACGTTCTAAATATACATATATAATATACCCCTTTCTAATGTAATTGCATTGGCGCAGTGAATGGACAATTGAGTTGTTGCAGAAATTGCATTTCTTTGCGCCTTCAGCTGATTGCGTGCCATGCGTTGTAAATTATTTAATGCGCCATTGGCGACTAAATTACATTGAATCGCCAATTGAATGGCTCAAGCTGATAATGAGGATGGAAATGAAACCGAAGCTCATTTTCGATTCTACGCTCTAGTATTGAAATCGTGCGCTGGCAAGTTTTCAATTTCACGACTCGAACATGCAACAGTTTTTCGCATATTAGCTGTTAACTTTTATTTCAATCAATTGGAATATTTTTTATTATATTTTTATGGAACCAGTTTTGACATTTAAGCTCTGTGCATAAGTAACAATTCGTTCCGAATAAATAGTTAGATTTGTATAGCATTAAAAATCGTTGCTGTTAAACTTCAAGTAAAACTTTTTCATAAAATCTTTTTAATAGAATTTTATTTTGTTAAAATATATTATAAAATTACAATAAAAATATAAGTTTCATTTACTCAAGCCTTGTCCGTATTATCATATTTCAAAATCACTTTTCCAATCTCTAATCCTCTTCGCTCAACTTCCTTTTTTTATAGCGGGGGCAATTATCTAAATGCATATGGCACTTATGATTAGGACACTTAACGCCTTTGCACCCATATCGCCGATGAAAGCGAGGGTGGGACTTATCAAGCGAAGTGAAGTGGCAATGCATCAAAGTCTACGTTTTGTGGAGTGCCAGACGACGTATGTATTTAGGTGACAGGCCGATCGAGTCTGGAGGTTTCTATATTTTTGTGATTATTTCCAACTATAATCAAAACAAGCGAAATAGAGGGGAAAAAAGCGGGTCTGAAATGGCAAACAAGTAAACAAAAACAAAGCTTTTAATGCTTTGTTTTGAGGTCATCTGCTAGGGTCTTTCCGGGGGGGAAGTGAGCGGGCTGTACCCCTCTATCTCTCTCTCTCTCTCTGCCTCACTGGCCGTATCTATATCTCTAAACTCAGATCTCTTGCTTTTTCGATCGACTTCTGGCAGTTTCGTATATACGTGGAATCATCAGGTTATCGCCTCTCTTTCCGTATATTTTGCTTGCCTTCATAACTCGTTTTATTGATTCTGTTTTGTTTGGCCAATTCGTTACAATTGACTCATAAAGCGGTTCCAGTCTAATTTATTCGGCATAGCCACGTTTCTACATACATATCTAGTTTGTTATTGCGTTGTGTCTGGAATTTTAATTAACCCTAATTATTATTATCGCCATTAATTTTTCGGCGAAAAATAATTGCTAGAAAAGAAGGCGTGTCTTTGCCGGCTGACCAAAGCCCCATCGATAAGGCCGGATCCATCGTTATCACTTACTGCTTTTCTCTTTGTTACGAAACGACTGACTGTCGACAAACAAACTGAAAAATAAACCCAAACACACACACATACACACACTGAGAGAATCGAAAGCAAATACAAAAATACTACCCATCAAAATAACAAACACAAAGGCATAATCAAAAGCTTGACGAGGGCAAAGTTTTCTGCGGTTGATTTATTTCACATTTGCCCAAAGAGCTTTGAACTTAGCTTGTTTATAAAGAAGTACAGACATTTATATGCTGTACGAACATACACACATCATGTATTTAGCTCAAGTACTTTTGGGCTCTCTTGATAATTAATCCAAATGAATTTATGTGGGTTTCAGAATTGTTTTCTTTCTTTGTGTATGACAAGGTTGTTTTTTCTTGCTGGGTTTGGGTTGTTCCTCCCCATGAAGTTTTCACTCGTGAGCTCATGATCGCTGAGTGCTTAGTTGCATTGATAAGCCTGCCGGGAAAATGTTTTTTAAATAATCTAGAGCAAGCAGGCGAACATATAGAAATAACTATAACAAACACAAATATGTAAATCAAAAGTCCCATTAGCTTTACCTAAAAGAATTTTTATTGATCTTACGTCACAAACTAAATTTTTAAAAATATATAAACCAAACAGCTATTTATACTATTTATACTAAACAAATCTTTGGGTCTTTAACTAGTTGAACTTTAACTTATTTATTTTAAAAATCAAAAGCTATACAAACATTAATTAACATTTTATTTCCCTCTCATTTTTTAATTATTCAGGTCAGAATGCTTGCGAAAAGAAATCATATATATTCCTGCGCAAGGAGCTTCCGGTTCGACTGGCGAATATCATGAAGGAGATAGCTTTGCTGCCGGATAACCTGTTGCACACAAGATCCGTGAGCGAGGTGAGCTCCTGGTATGTGAAGAGTTTCGAGGACGTGCTGGTGTACGAGAAAGCCGATCCCACGCACGACAATCTGCAAAAGTAAGGATCAATATTATAAACATTCCTAGCAATTTATATCAAATTTATATCTTGCAGGTTTGTGGCCGATTTAGATCTCATTAGGAATCGGCACAACGATGTGGTGCAGACCATGGCCCAGGGTGTGATCGAAATGAAGGAGAACGAAGGTGGTCAGGTGGATGCACCCACCGAGAGCTCCATTCAATACTTTTTGGATAGGCTGTATATGTCGAGGATCAGCATTCGAATGCTGATCAATCAGCACAGTGAGTATTGGGCATCGTATATTTCAGTTGAATACATGACTAATTCTGCCTTTATTTAAAGCCCTGCTCTTTGGAGGAAATCCCCATGCGGGTGGCCGCCACATTGGGTGCCTGGACCCCGCCTGTGATCTGTCGGATGTGGTGCGCGATGCCTACGAGAACGCCCGCTTCCTGTGCGACCAGTACTACCTGACCAGTCCGGCGCTGGAGATCCAGCAGCACAGCAGCGAGCCCGGCGACAACCTGCCCATCCGCACCGTCTACGTGCCTTCGCACTTGTACTACATGCTCTTCGAGCTCTTCAAGAACTCCATGCGAGCGGTGGTGGAGCACCATGGCCATGACAACAACGACACATTGCCCCCCCTGAAGGTGGCCATTTGCAAGGGCAAGGAGGACATTTGCGTGAAGATCTCTGACCAGGGAGGCGGCATTCCCCGCTCCCAGACCGACCAGCTTTTCAAGTACATGTACAGCACAGCGCCGCAGCCGTCGAAATCGGATCTGCACACGGTACCGCTGGCAGGCTATGGCTATGGCTTGCCGATCTCAAGGCTCTACGCCCGCTATTTCCACGGTGATATTGTGCTGCTCTCATGCGAGGGATTCGGCACCGATGCGATCATCTATCTGAAGGTGGGTTTCTTGTACAGTTTTTGATACTGTTTTATGCAGTATTTAGATCTTTTGTAAATAGAAAGTATATTTAGTTATTTTCCTTTCAAAGCTCTAAGTATTAACTCTCAAATTGTAATTAAAAAGTGTAAGCACATGCTAATAAGGTTTACAAATTGCCTCAGTAAAATTGTTATAGCTTGACCTTAAAAAATATAATTTGCAATGACAACAAATCAAAATTTAGTGAATTATGGTAAAATGATTTATAGTTACAAGTTCTTTGCTGAGCGTAAAAAAATATTTGCAAAAACGTTTTAAAAATGTTTATGTACTTTAGATTCTGCCTATCAATCCTGCCGATTGATTAACCAAACTCTCGATTCATTTGTAGGCTCTGTCCGACGAGGCCAACGAATTGCTGCCGATCTTCAACAAGACAAGCTCAAAGTTCTATCGCGCCACCGTGCCCACGGGTGACTGGTCGAATCAGGTAAAATACGCTAAAAAGAAGAAGACCAGCGCTGTTGTCCAGCAGACGTGTTAAAATGCCAAAAAACTAAAGAGAATGCGATGAAAAATGAAACGAACCCGCCTGGCTGTGTAAAGAGTTTGCGCCACCCTGCACCGACCGATTCAATTCAAACCAATAAAACCCAATCCCAGCAAGCAAACAAGCAAGCAAGCAACCCACTTCCCGCATCCGCAACCCAGTCAAGTGAAAAGTGTTTATTTATTGTTTAATGTACCTAATGTTAATGTTAATTATGACTTATGTTTGTATGTGCCCCTACTTTCCCAAACCGCCTTTTTTCAAATTCTGCTTTAAAATATTGTCATTTAATAGCATTTGTGACATTCCACAAACATTTTTTGCCCATTTTGAAGCGGGCTTGAAGTTCTATTTAGTTTTTTTTTGTGGGTAGCGAGTGGCGCAGCGCCCTTGGCTTTATGATTACGTTTGTAGCAATTAAAATCAATGCATATTTATATATATTATACATAAATATATACACACAAAACATACATACTCTAACGTAAACAGATGTTTTGAAACAATTACGAAATTAGCTGTAATTTTTGGATTTTATTTAGGCTACAGCCCGAACTGCATGCAATGTTAAAATACATTTATCTTTTTGAGCACACTATTTAATTGTATTCGTTAAGTTATAAAAGTTTTATACGAATAAACTTGAAAGTATACACCAACACTAAATGATTTTTCTAATTATGTTTAAGATTTATTTGAAACAATTAAAATTTGATTATAGCAGTTACTTATACTTACTTTCACCTGCATTTTCCATGTTTTTTGTTTTATTATATAACAGTTGAATCCCCACTAAGCGTTTATGGTAATTTGTGTTGCTTTCGATTATTCTTTTCTTCACTTAATTACTCTCCACTGATGATTTCTTTCAGAACTTTTCCAATCGTTGGCGTTATTTATATGGTTTTTTAAAGAATTTATAAGACTGTATCCGGACCAGATGCGTTTGCAGTTCTTTGGTTTTCATTTCTCGCTACACAGGCTAACCACTAAACTCTCCACGAAACTCTCTGATCTTCTAGAGCTCGGATATGAATGCACGCCAGCTGTCGGCCAGCATACCAAAACGCTGCGACTTTATTCAGGACGCTTGAAAGAAGCGCCCTGGCAACCGCTATACTCAGGCTTAGGAAACATGACGATTCAGGAAGAGCAACTGTTGGATACACAAAAAACTCGATATATATCACTAGCCCTAGGCAAACATTCCCAAACTGCGGCAGCAACAAAAGCAACTCAAATTTGTATTCATGGCAGTAACGTGTAGTTATCGTGTTGTTATTTGAAAAACTAAATGGATGATTTATAAATAAAGCAATTTGTTAAAGATCAAGCGGTGGAGTTTTCTTTTAGGCACTACATTTTATTCTTTACATACACAATAATAATAGTAATAATATTTCTCTATATTGCATCGATAACATTAAATATTGTTCATTTTGCTTTCATTCTCCTCGTATTCCGGCTCTATACAATAATCGATTAATCATTTGCTTGCGGTTATATCTTTATAATTATTTTATACAAATTTCTCACATTCAGTTAGTTAGCATTGCTTAGCATTTTTTCACATTATCACTTGTTAACAGTTTTCTTTCGCTTTTCTCGACAATCAATTAATCTATTTAACTACAGCAACAAATTGATACGTTTAAACAAAGTGCATTGCGATTGGTTGTTGTTGTGTTCTTTTGATCTCCATCTCAGATAATAATCGTATTTATAATTATAATAATAATAGTAGAAATCATAATATGCAATATAAAATCGACAAAAATCAATGATAATAAATACAATACAATATATAAACAATAATACACATTAAATAAATCAAATTGCAATTGGATTGGAATGCATGCGAAACGGAGAAACGTAGAAGGATAAACCAAGGGACACCGCCAAAGGATGTCCAAATATTCCAATCAAGTTGAAAAGTGAAAATGGCCTTGGTAGCACCGCTTTACTTGCGCAGGGGATCCAAACTCTCCAGCGAGAAGTCATCAAGGTTCAGTTGATTTTGCTGCATGGGTGATTTGGCCGTTAATAATAAGAACCTAGAGATTTGAGGTCCAACAAAACTCACATTGAAAATGGTTGGTCCATTGTTCATTTCAAAGGGATCTGAACCGAAAAGGTCTGTGTTGCCATTCAGGCCGTTGCCCGTTGTCACCGAGTTAAGGCGCCTGGGCGCAGCAATCTTTGGCGGCGGCGCCACTGTAAAGGAAAATCATGTAATCAGTAAAGTAAGCAATCAATCAATAAATACAAATATTTAAACGTACACAATGGCGGCGTAATGTTCAGCTCGCTGGAGAAGCCACTGCTGTTGATGCTGTTATTATTGCTAGTGATCAGTAAGCTGCTGTTCGTGTTGTTATTCTGCAGCTTGTGATCGTTGTTGTTAACAAACAGCTGCTGGCCAAAGCTCTTGGCCGGCTCAAAGCCAAACAGATCGTTGCTAATAGCATTCCGGCCATTGCTCACGTTGTCCTGAATTTCGTCCGCTCGCGGATCGAAATCACTGTCGGAATCGGAGTTGAGCAACAGCTCGTCCATCTTCTGGCTGTTGCTCTTGCCGCCGATGCTAATCTGGCTGGACAGATTGTTCCGCGGCGGGACTATGGGCAAGAAGGAGCTGGGCGACGCCGAGTGGGTCGATGCCGTGGTGGAATTGGTGTCAATCAGCAGCTTGTCATCGTCTGAAATACATTTCATTTGAGTTACTTTGGCGGGGATAAATAGTGAAAAATTGTCTACCCAGCTTGCCGTTGCTCAGGGCTTCGGTAGCCACCTCGATTCCATTCGGCAACTCTGTGACGGGCGCTTCCAGAACGTCCTTGATGCCCATATTGAAGAGCAGGGCATCCAGCTCGGCCTTTGGCAATTTGGCGGAAATTTCGCGCAGTCGCTCCTTGTAAGCGTTCACGGTTTGCTGCAAATGATTAATCTGCTGCTGCGCCTTGCTCAGGTTCGTCTTCTCAGTGCCTTCCATGTATTTCCTGACATTACAAAATTTGATAGCGTTAATTAAATGATATTGCAGAAATATTGCAGAAATAAAACAGCAAAGTAGCCCACCTGTAAGCCAAATCGAAGGCCTGACCAATTGTCAGCGTGATATCCGAGGCCAATTTGTTTGAAATGAAAACAAAGCATTCGTGGCTCTCCTCCGCTTTGGCACTGCCATCGCCATTTCCGTTCGCATGGCCATTTGTCGCCGGATCGCTGCCATCCCGGGTCTTCGACGACTTGGCAATAAAACTGAAGAATTTCTTCACACCCTTCTCGTCCGCACAATACGAGATGTTGTAAAGCGGAAACTGGTGAAGGATCTTGTGGGTGCGCGGCTCCTGGATGGCCACGCCCTTGATGCTAATGGTGATCTCCAGCTTCTTGAACTTCTCCTGGGTGCCCGTTTCCGCCTTCTTCATCTGCTGGGCGAACTGCAGCTTCCGAATGGCCTCTTTGACCACCTCAATGCCCTTGGGCTGGTCCACGCTCAGGTTACCAAAGAACTGGAAGGGAAAACCATAGAATACAGTGAGAAAAATTGTATTTATATCTTCACAACACCTAAACGTATTAACAAACTTTCAATTTTAATTGCATTCCAACTTGAAGGGCACTTAAAAATAATGTAATTTATTTTGCAAACAAAAGGAATTTACCTATTATAGTAAAAAGTAACTAGGTGCTTATAATTTTTACTCTCCGAAAAAAATGTGTTTCAATTTACATTTTGTTTGTTGAATTTCATTCAATTACAGATCAATGGCAGTTTGTTGGTCAATTGGTAAAATCGTTTTGCCTTAACTACTAAGTTGCTAGGTTATAACATTTTTTTTAAATAGATTTTCGATTTATAATAATGTTGAAATCTACAAACTCATATCTCTAATGCGTTTAACATGCGTAGTTCTAAGTGTGTACTTATAAATGAGTCAGTGGCTTTTAGATATCACAAATACAATATCATAATTTTGATCAGCGCTTTACTTTTTACACATGAACAAAAATGGTTTTAACAATGAGCTCTGGAGGCAAAAATATGGATCACGCCACACAAGAATGGCGATTTGTTAAATGTACACTTGAAGGTGCCGAATTATTTAATTAAAAAGGTAAATATTGAAAGTACGTATACGCAATGCTTTCATAAAATATTGCGTATACGCAATGAAGACTAGTTTTTAGTGAAAAAGAGATTCCTTTTACATATTAAGGCAAAAAAAAACTTTTAAAAACCTACTTAAAAAAACAAAATTCGACGGCTTTATTTTCTCAGTGTATTCCGGTGATCGGGGCCGTCACAGGTGGGCTGCTGTTGCTGTCCCTCGACTTGCTCACCTTGACTAGATAGACCGCGTGTCCGCTGATGAGCTGCTCCGGCGTGTGCAGCCAGTTGCGCTTGCCGCTCTTCGCCTCGCTTTTGGCATCGCCGTTGCTGTTGCTGCCGGTACCGCCACTGATGTTGCTGCCCCCGTCGGCGGCGTCCTTGTCCTTGTCCTTGTCCTGCTGCTGCTGCTTGCTGCTGTTCTGTTTGTTCCAGAACTTCAGCTGGGCCATTTTGGCCGCCGCCTTGCTTCCGCCAGACGTCCCGCCGCTGTTGGCTGGCTGATAAGGCATTGTTGTTGTGGGCGCCGTTTTTAAGCGATTAAGGGAGCTGCAAGTAGAATGGGAATCGAAGTCGGAATTGACAAATGTGTTGCGAATTGAACTTTGCCCGTCGCCGGGTTTTTCCTCTGAAATCCCTCGATTATAAAATATAATGTGCATACAAATTCCAGCTGCCGCTGTACTGCTAATTATCGTTATACAACCAACTGAATCTGAATGTATTCTTTTGGCTAATTGCAAATCGTGTTCAGAGAGAGGGACAGCAAAGAATATACAATGCCTGAATGGGAAGTAGGGGGTATTCGGATCCATGAAAACCAATCCCATTGGCATCTGCGTCACCACAGACTTAAACCTGTTGCCTTCGTCAGCTGTCGACATCGGTGCACTTGGACCTCGATTTTTCTATAAAAATATACACACAGTGGCTCTTGGAATTACACAAAGAAAAACGTATATTTACAGTTGGAACTCATATTTAATTTTAATCTTCCAAAATCAAGCTTCAAAATATTTTTATATGTGTAGAAAACTACAGAGATTTTAGGAATTCACTTTTTACTCAACCTTGAGAGAATTATTTTGGCAACTCATAATAATGATCACTCAAATCGAATAACAAAGCGAGGCGAAGCTTTTTATTAAGTACTGAAGTTTGATTTTTGATTAATAATTTTCTATTTATAGTTTTTAAATGATTAAAAAATTGGAGCGTAGATTTACTTGAGTGTTTAAGGCAAATAAAAAGAATTCTATTTTGTTGTTATTGGGTCACAATTCCATTTGCACCCTCAGAGAAAAATGTGCACAATGAAACCTAAAGAAGACTCACTTTGTAAATTATTTAATTTATTATCACACATGAGTTTACTCGACGCTCTCTCAGTAAATAAGAATGACTATATTTGTAAATGAAACAACCAATGAGTCACACAGCTTGTAAAATTTTAAAGCGCGTCAAAGTACTGGTTATCAATATTTCAGGCTTTGGTATCTTGTCGTTAGCTAGTTTTGTTTAAGCCCCGCCTCTGGCAGTTACGAAACGCACTGTATGGATGTAAAATTGCACTCAAACAGACGTCATTGTGCAAAGACAATAAGGCAACAGTTTCTCAGAAATAAAAACCACAGAAATAAAAACAAAAAATCATAAACCGAAATTAGAACAAAGTCGCTAAGCTAAGCTGCGCTCACATCGGATCAAAGTCACACCTTGTGGACTGAAATAATGTGACGAACGGATCTTTTGTGAGTTCTTTCGTGCAATTCTCACATTTCGTGCCGTCTCATAATTAAGAAAAATCTTGCAAAAAATTAATGAAGCTCTGGTGTTTGAGGCTCTCTTTTTCGTTGTTTCGCGTTTGCATGTGTGTGTTTTATAAGTTTGATTTATTTTGGAGTTGGTCAACAAGGAGGGGAGTGTGATGGGGGGTTTGGGAATGGGGGTTTCGTTAGGCAATCGCACAAAAGCGAAAGCTAAATTGGCCAAAAGCGGCAAGCGACGCCGATGACGACAGCCCGGGTTATAAAATACAAAATTCGAAAATAGCACAACGCTTGGGTTTCGTAGCTAAAAAAACAAAGACCCGAAACACCCTATTCCACCGGCAATTGTGCGCAATTACCCCAACAACTACACACGTTTT